AATTACAGAGTTTATCTGTCCAATATTCGTAACTTGTAGAAGGAGAGTGGTCCGGGTGGATTCCCTTGCACCGCAGTACACCTCCGTAGCCAGTAACATAAATTAGAAGGCACATCCAGTTCAGAACCAAAATCGGGAATGTCATTCACTGGCGAGTTTCCCCACTCGTTAACTGCAGTAGGCCGGAATTGGCCAATAGAATTATCTTTATGATGCACATTCCGTAGATCACAATACATTAATTTGTATGACAATACACAGTGTATTGTTCTAACGTTACTTGCAAACGCGTGATTAGTAGACACGTAAAAAATGGTATACTGCCAGCAACGGCGAACCGACGTCCTCCAGAATAGATCACAAACTCCCATGATGCAATATTATTCAATGGCTTACTGTAGTACCTACAAGATCGGACATCCACATTTGATCACATGAACGTTCAGATCGGGTTCTATCAAAGTCCGCTTCCCTAGTGCTGACTAAAAGAAACATCTTGCCACTCTATATTTAACAATTATCTATCGCCAAAAACAACATTGCCTATCTATCGCCGTAAGACAAACACAAAACGCCACCATCACGACATACAACATAAACATGATTTAATGTTTGACATTCGTGACAGGTACTAATTATCCCATTTCTTTGAATCTTGGTACATAGATTTTCTAGGACAATGCACAGACCTGATTAATTTTAAGTAAATATGTGTGCATATTAATCAACTAATTTGATTAGGTACTAATTATCCCATTTTTTTTAATCTTGGTACATAGATTTTCTAGGACAATGCACAGACCTGTTGAGTTTTGGATCAAAATCAGTGCATATTAATTGCTTAATTTGCATAATTAGCCAATTTTCAGCTTTTGAGCTCCGCTATCGAGCAGGGCTTATAGTATTACTGATTATTCGACTTCTTCTTAAAAACCACAAACTGTATAGCTGTGAAACTTTCTAGGAAGGTACCTTGGGTGGTTCTCTCTCAGATTTGTTCATTTCGTGTGGATATGTTCAATTGTCTTATTTATAGCGAATATTTTTGGTCAAAAATGCTATTTTCGACTTCTTCTTGAAAACCGCTAGCTCAAATGCTTTGATACTTGGTATGTCTCTCAGATTTGTTCATTTCGTGATGATATCTTCATTTCTCTAATTTTGATGAATATTTTTGTCATTTTTGGTAAAAGAAAATTATATTTACGACTTCTCTTTGAAAACTGCTAGTATGATTGCTTTGATATTGTATATGTAAGTACATCAGGTTGACCTCTGTCAGATTTATTAATTTTGTGACAATATCTTCAATTCTCTAATTTTAGCAAATATTTTCGTCATTTTTCATCAAAAAACATATTCTTGACTTGTCCTTCAAAACCAGTAGTCCAAATTCTTTGAAACTTGTACACATGCAGCTTGGGTAGACTTCTATTAAATTTGCCCATTTCGTAAAGATATCTTCAATTCTCTACTTTTAGTGAAAAACTCTCTGCAACAAAATCAAAAAAGTTGGTGTCTTGCGATATTAAAGCAGCTAGCAATAAGTTTAAATTGCTTCTTAGTCACTGCTTTCAGAGCATGCATCACAGCGGAGCTATATCAGCCGACAGGCTGCTAGTACAATGATTTCACATGTACTAATTATTCCATTTCAATGAAAATTGGTACATTGATGCTCCAGACCAAGGTGCAGATCCTCTCAGTTTTGAATTAAAATCATATCATATTAACTACCTGATTTGCATAATAAATCACAATTTTTGGTTATAATCACTTTTCAATGAAATGATCTGTGACAGTACATATCTTAATTCATTGAATCTTAGTACATAATGTGATGATCAAATTAGTTTTACGTTTATGTACATCTATAAATAATTACCTAATTTGCATAATAATTTACTTTTCAGCTTTCCACTAATTTAAATAGAATTAATCATCACATTATAATGACATTTTGTACATGTGCGGTCTGAAACAATATACAGACCTAAATCTATGCATAATAATTGCTTAATTTGTATAATAATTCATTTGGTTCATTGAGGTAATCCAGACATGATTAGTTTAATGTTGATAAACATGCATATTGATTATCTACTTTTAGCCCATCTAAAAAAAAATCAGATTTAAATTGAATTTATTGCAGAGGTGCTCTGGAATAAATTAGACTAAAAATCATGGATGAAAAATCAAATGTATTTTCTGTATGTATTATAAATTT